ATGATCAAAATTCTGATCAACATGTGGTAAACTAGTTGTTGAGACAATCATTTCTTCCTGAATTTGTTGTCTTAGTTTCCTTTCATTAGCCGATTGTATTCGCCATTGATTTTCCTCCTCATCTCTCTCCAAAAGATATTACTTTAATAAATTAATAATAATTTAAATCTTAATAGGATTTACAAAATGCAATTCGCATTCAATTAGGGCTATGGTCTGAAGGAACCGATAACAACGTTATGGAAACTAACTTTAAGCCATTTCTCACCAGGTTTATATCCTTTGTACAAAAGGACGTGGTCATTATTGAATTGGTATAATAATTATACAACATAGATTTCAATGTTATTTATTGTCCATTATTAAATAAATGTATTGATTTATAATTTGATATTTAGTTATCAGTGATTATGCTTTTTGACCCACATGTTTCAAATTTAAACCATGGAAACACAATAAAGTACTGTAATTATACTATATATTGATATTGTATACATGTTAACAAAATGTTTTTATATTAATTTATTAAATTGTTTGTTAGACTCGAACAACAACTGTATATATATTTACTGCAAAGATATCTACTATTGAAGTGTTGGTCGGAATCTNTTAGACTCGAACAACAACTGTATATATATTTACTGCAAAGATATCTACTATTGAAGTGTTGGTCGGAATCTGAAGCCCAGATAAGACTACAGAATCTGATGTTATTATTGCGTGAATTTAAAATATTTAGTCAATGTGTGAGAAATAATGTCAAAACACAATCAATACAATACTTTGGACCACTTTTCAAAGAAATTGTATAAATTGTAATATAAATTAAAATTTAATAAATAATTACAAATTAGTACCATATTTATTTAATATTTAACTAGTGTTTACTATTTGCCATCTAGAGTATAAACATGTAGCACATTTAAATTTTATTTTATATTTTTATTATACTTTATAACTTAAGCAATTTATATTAGTAGAACTGAAATATAAAGCTACCTAACTAAATATTTGTAAGTACCTATAAATTATAAGTTAATAAATAATTATAAATTAGTATTTACTAAGATAGTAAATTAACTAGTATATTTGCTCTATTCAAACATACATTTATAGTGTTTTAAGTCTTACATAAAACAATCACTATTTAAGACTCATACAAATCTATAATTTTTTACAACTATTTGTAATCAAATATTTGTAAAACAATAAAAAACATATCAAATAAAATTCTATTCAATAAGGCTTATATGATTGACACGATGGGCACTAATTGTACTTAAAAAGTACTTGTAATTCAAGTAAAAACACTTATAAAAGTTATAAAAATTACTTTCATGAGAGAAAACTTCAAGGTTTTGCTAAAAGAGATTATTTAATGAATATTTTCTCACAAAACCTATTTTTAAATGATAACCACACATGCAATCTATGTTGAAATTTGTGCAAACTATGTACGTATTTAAAAATTGTAAATTTTGTAATTGTAATTGCAATTAAATTATTTATAAATAGTTATTAAATACTACACATGTACAACTAATACCATCGAGATTAATTATACAATTACTGCACTGAAACAGTTATCTGGCGCATAAAAAGGTGTGAATACAGTATAGCTTATCATATGATTTATATTATGTTTAACTATAAAATGAATCTAAACGTGTAATATTGTATAAACTAAAACTAGTTAATTATTTAAATTAACAATTTATAAATTGAACACCTAGCCAATTTATTACACACAATGAATGTCAAGCGTGTTTGCCAGGTATGCGGCGATACTAAATCAGTTGGTATGTAATTCACATTTATAATAACAGTAATATAAATAAATTTACATTGCATTATGGTGTAAACTAATTTATAAACCAGGTAGAAATTACGGCTCAATCACATGTAAATCATGTCGAGTATTCTTCTGGCGCGCCATCACAAACAATAAGGTAAATATTAAAATTAAATATACATTTAACAACACAATAATTATTAATTAACTTATAATGTGATTAACAGGTATTAAAGTGTCCGTCAAAAGGCACGTGTAGTATAGATAAGGCGTTTCGTAGCATTTGCCCCAATTGTCGGCTAAACAAATGTTTTACTGTCGGAATGAAAAGGGTATTAAATTATTAATATTAAACATAATTTAATTACAATTTAAACTAATAATTACAGGAATTTATCAAAAGTGAAGAGCAAAATGAGACCAATAATTGTCAATTGAACGCCACTATCAATAGGAAAGGTGTCGATTGCACTGATATTATAGCGTTTAAAACCAATGATAACAACAATAATTACGATGAAATTGAAGATTTAATTAGAGAAACACTGAATATTAGTACCGATGGACTCGAGGCGGAAATGAATGAAATTGATAAGTGTTTACAAACCAATTGTATGGACACTAATGATAAGCTAATATTACTAAATGGTACAAAACTTGGTAAAAACAAGTGCCAGGACTCGGCCCTAATGCCCATAATCCCTGTCCTAACCGATCACAAGGGCTGGAATCAAATGGAGACCATAAAGTTGTCGGAACTGTTGACTTCGTCCCATGTGTTCAGTTACCCGATGGCCGACACCCGACATATCATTAGAGATAAAATTGAATTTTTCCGTGTATTGTCTCAATACACGGAGAATAGTATATCGGATGTGGTCAAATTCACCAAGGGCCTTAATGGCTTTACAAACATCTCGGCCGCCGATCAATACACCCTGATTAAGCATGGTTGTTTTGAGTTGTTGGCCCTGCGCTATCTGGTTTATTACGATCACCGTAATGATTGTTTTAACTTTCCATATGTAAGCGTGTATGTGTGGTTAATTGTTATCATGTTTAAAATTTTGTTATATTTTATTGAACTAAATTAATTATTTTGTTTAACTAGAAAAACCAAACGGCAATTAGTGTTGGCTCTACTGTGGATACAATTAGTGAAAAGCGTGTCTTTCGTTGTATTTTAAGAGATTTTATAATTAATATAATGAAAGAGTGGGATAGAGATCCGATCATCATGGATTTGGTATTTATTTAAACATTATATTTAATTAGTTATTCACTACTTATGTTAATAATCTACAAAATTTTTATAGTTAACAGCAATTATATTGTTTAATCCGAGCCGTCCAATGCTAATACAAAATCATTATGTTAAGTAAGTTATAGATTAAAGTTTTTAATTAAAGTAAAATTTTAATTTTGTAATTAATTAATTAATTGTTTGTTAGACTCGAACAACAACTGTATATATATTTACTGCAAAAATATTTACTATTGAAATACCGCTCGGAATCTGAATCCCAAAGAAAAGTACAACATTTAATGCAATCATTAACTCATTTGAAACGTATTGCAAAATCAAAAGTACCGTTTGAATTGAACGCATCTAGTGAGTTTATGAAATACCATGGTCCGCTTGTTCAAGAGATATTTGATCTTAGAAAATAAGATTTTAGATTATTATTATGTTAATTGTTAATATAATTGTTTTGTAATGCAAATTAAAAATAAATCTATAATATTTTAATATACTGTAAATATTATTACATTGTTAGTTTGTAAAACTATAAAATAAAGCACATAGGGTAATAAATAACTTAAAAACTTAAATGTAAATAAATGTAAATATAAATTATACAGTTGAATAAATGTAATAAAATATTACTATGTAAAGCTAATTATTATTTAAGACTTATTGTAATTATCTAGATGTCGACTCTAACATTAATAAAAGTTTTATTATAAATCTTACATTTACTGTATATTCAATTATTATCAATTGTTTGTATGTTTTACTAATAAAGTTATCATTTAATATCAATAGATTAATTAATTACTTTGTAATTTCAATGTCGGTTATTTATTGATGTAATATTATTAAAATGGTCAGAATTTGTAGCATATGTGGCGATAATAAAGGAATTGGTATAAAATGTTTCCTAAATAAATAATGTATTTATTAATTTTCTTATAATTTAGGCCAAAATTACGGTCAATTAACGTGTGAATCGTGTAAAATGTTTTTCAGGAGAATATGCTTTAAATCTAAGGTAAACCTATAGATATACAGTATAGTAGTTTCCGTCATAGGCCATTAATGTTTCAAACAAGCCTAGTTGTCATTACTTAATACAATGAATAAGTTAACATTACAGTTTTTGTAAGAATTTTAAAAATTTGTAAAGGAATGTTATAATAAACTTAAAATTATATTTTAATACTTATATTGATGTGTAATAATAGCCGTACGGATGCCCATCAGCCGGAAAGTGCAAAATAACTACAATTACTAGAAAATATTGTCCCAAATGTCGGTTTGATAAGTGTTTGGCTATCGGAATGAAAAGGGTATATAATTTGTAAATTGATTGCTTATTTATGCTAGTTTAATCATTTCTAATAGGAATTCAGACCAAATTACAATAAAACTGAAAAACATAAGCAAATAATTAACAAAAACACACAAACTATCAAACATTGTGTCGATTCTCAAAAGTCAACCAAATCTCAAGAAATTGAAACTTTATGTCAAACTAAAACTACTACTGAATTAATTGCAAATATTGTGAAAACAATTAATTATAAATTAATCACATGTGATATAAAGGATTCAAACAATTCAGAGACACAAACAATGATAACAACAATCAGTCCCTTATATAAAGAAATCATTGATTCTAACGGTTTGAATGAATTGGAGATCCAAAGGATTACTGAGTTGTCGGTGGCGTCCGATGTATACAACTATCCATTGGCTGAACATATAATTGAAATACGAGATGAAACTGAATTATTCCGTATAATTAAAGCCAAATCCGAGCACTTTATTAGGGATACCATTAAATTCACTAAAAGTTTGCTATCGTTTGCCAACACCTGTCCCGACGACCAGTACGTGCTGTTCAAGTCCGGGGTCTTTGAAGTGATTTATATGCAATACTTAGACAATTACGATAAGGACAGGGAATTATTTCACATTCATCTAGTGAGTATAACTGAATAATTTTAACATGATTTATTATGTAGCAATTAAATTATTGTATTGTACCATGTGTGCTTTTCAGGACAATGAGCATTCAATGTTGATTACACTGCAGTCATATAAGGAGACGGACTTTAATTATTATAATTCGTTTAAGCGATTCTTGGATGCAATGATTCCCGAATTACACAGCGATCCGGTTATTATGAATTTGGTATATAATTAATATTAATTATAGAATTATAAAGAATAATTTGCATATTAATAATTACTTACAATAGTTAACAGTTATTGCACTCTTCAGCCCAAATCGACCCGATTTGAAACATAGACAACATGTAAAGTAAATAAATAAATAATTTGTGCATTTATTTCATTATTTATTAATTACAATTAAATATTATTTGTTAGACTCGAACAACAACTGTATATATATTTACTGCAAAAATACTTATTATGGAAGTATCGGTCGAAATTGGAATCGCAAATAAAAGTCAAAAAGTTATTGAATTTATTGAATGAATTGAGAAAAATGTGTGAAATCCGACGGATTAGAGAAATTGAAAAGATTAACACAAAAGGGTTGACACAATATTACGGTCCGCTTTTGAAAGAGATTCACGGCTTTGAAATCAATTCAAACAATTAATGCATTAAATAAAGTACAACTTATTTGTTTATAACCTTAAATTTTTAAATACTTAAGGTGACAAATATTGAGATACAGAATAATTATTAATTTTTGTACATGTATTTAAACAAACATAATGGGATAAGTAGTAATAATTATCTAGATGTCGACTCTATAAACATTTTCTAACGTTAAATATTAAATAAATGTATAATTATTATCAATTGTTTGGATATTTCAATAATAAATTTATTAATAAAGAATATTATTAGAAAATGTTTTTTATAAGAATGTGCTTTAAAGTTAAGGTTATCTTTGAGAGTTACGACCATCAACTTTTTATCACGTTTAGTTGGCATTACTTAATATAATAAATAAGTAAAAATTACAGTTGTTACTATAATTTTACAATATTTTAATTTATTAATTAATAACATCAAATATTTCTTATAATTATATTTTAATTAATTAATTAATTTGTAATAATAGCCGTACGGCTGTCCATCAGCCGGAAAGTGCAAAATAATTACAATTACTAGAAAATATTGTCCCAAATGTTGATTTAATAAGTGATTACAGCATTACTAATGATATAAATAAATTATAATATTTAATGTGATGTATTTGTATTAATATAAATTTACTTTTATAATAAAATTAACTGTTTTATTATGTAATTATTATTGTAATATATTATAATAAAATATTATAACTATAATCAATATCTGATACAATTTAATTTAAATAAATTATACATTAATAGACAATGTTTTATAAATGACATTAAACTTTTATTAGACGTTAGTTAGACATTTTTAGTATTTCATTAGTACATGTCTAGTACTTAATACAGCTGTTGTTGTAATAAAATAATTTAATTAATTGAATAAATAAATTTCTCAAAAATTTCTAAAAAAGATCTATGTTCATTTTATTTAGTATTAAATTTATTTCAGAAAGTTTATACATATTATTTAAATAACAAATTGAAAATTGATTTTATTTTGATAATTAATTAATAAATGATAATATGAACAGATTTTGTGAGATTTGTGGCGATTTTAAAGGAATTGGTATTAAATATTAATATTTACTATTATTTTGTAACTTTTATAAAAATTAATATATTATATAATTCCTATAATTCCTAATAATATATTAGGTCGAAATTATGGTCGTTTAACCTGCGATTCATGTAAAATGTTTTTCAGGAGATATTGTGCAAAAACTAAGGTAAGTATTTTTGTTGACGTTTCAAATGATATTTTTAATTAAACTTAAATTAATTATATTACAAATTAAGTAATTATATTACAACAGCAATACAAATGTCGTTTTGATGGCAAATGTAATATAACTTCAATTACTAGAAAAATGTGCTCAAAATGTAGGATTAATAAGTGTTTCGCAATCGGAATGAAAAATGTATAAAAAAATTAATTTTTATTTAATTAAAATTGCTATTAATTTTAAATATTTGACAGGAATTTAAGCAAAACTACAATAAAATGCAAACAAATAGTACAAATATATTAAATAAGGTTATTAATAATGGAGATTCTGTCACAAATCATGTCAATAACTCAATAGACATGAAGTATAGTAATCAAAAATCACAGAATCTTACAATTATTCCCGTATATAAAGAACTCACAGATTATAAGGGATTCCATGAAATGGAGAGCAGAAGAATCGGTGAACTGATGGCAGCGGTTATTGTCTTTAATTATCCATTGACTGAAAACGTGGTAAAAATTCACGATAAAAGTGAGTTCTACTGCATATCCAAAACAATGACCGACAATCACATCAGGGATACCACTGTATTTGCCACCGGTTTGGTATCCTTTGCCAACACCTGTACCGACGATCAGATATTATTGTTAAAGTATGGCGTGTTTGAAGTGATTTGCATTAGATTTGTACAATATTATGATAAAGATTGTGAGCTTTTTCGTGTTAAAATTGTAGGTGTTTTATCTTGGTCGAAAATTATTATTTATTGAGTTATATTTGTGACTGTTTTTTAGGATAATGAGAATACAATTATACTTACATTGGACTTAATTCAACATAATAATTTTAATTATTATCAAATGCTTAAACGCTTGCTTAATAACTTTATTAGGGAATCTAATAGTGATCAAATTATTATGGATTTGGTCTGTAAAATTTTATGTATTTTACCTTCATAACAATTGTAACATTTTAATTTATATAGTTAACAGCTATAGCACTATTCAACTCAACCCGACCCGATTTAAAGCATCAATATAATATCAAGTGAGTTAACTAATGGTGTATTAAATATAAAATATTTATTTACAAATAATAATTTTAATTTAATTAATTTTAATATTCGTTAGACTCAAACAACAACTGTATATATATTTACTGCAAAGATATCTACTATTGAAATACCGGTCGGAATCGGAGTCACAAATAAAACTGCAAAAACTAATGTTATTATTGAATGATTTAAACGAAACAATGAAAGTCCATAAGTCTGTAGCCGTGGAAGAGATCAAGGATTACATCCAATATTGCGGTCCACTTCTCAAAGAGGTTTACGACTTATCAGACACTAGGGAACAGTTAGATTTGGATAAACTAGATGTTTGCTGAACAGCATAGATAATTAATTAAATATAAAACACTATAATACTGTAAATTTAATTTAAGAATTATTTTTGGGTTAAGAGAAATTACTTGTAAATTCTTGCAATTAACTAGAATCTAGATAAATATTGGCATCCTGTTTCTGAGCATGTGCTTTAATATAACCGTATAGACAGTGTATAATAAATCTTAATAGATCAACTAATTTTAATAATTTGCACCAATTTAAGTGTACAATGTATAAAACAATTAATAAAAAAGTGACATGTGTACTTGTATAATAGGTGTACTATGATTAATAATTAAACAAATACAAAGATATAACTTTGATGAGGGTATGAAAAGTTTTTATGTAGTTTCTAAGAAACTGTTGATTGATTAGAGATGTCGACTCCTATTAACATTTGAACACAATTAATTGCAAAATATAAAAATACATTAATTACATTAGGTTTAGTGCAAATATAATAGTTATAAACGTTTTATTCAACCTTGTTATACTGTATATGTATTTTTCATTGAATAGTTCACAATAAGTCCTTAAAGTATATTGTATATCAAAATTTACCTCAAGATTAGTAACGTTTAAACATAAATAATAAGCCAAAATATACAGTATAATTATAATACATGCGCATATTATTGTATGAATATAAATATATATTTTTCATATTTGATAATATAATGTAGTGTTTATTAAATATATTTTGGTAATCATGAGCAGAATTTGTGAAGTTTGCGGAGAATCTAAAGGAATTGGTATTTAAATAAATTTATTTTTTTATATTTAAATAAATAAATCAATAATTTCATTAATTTTATGTTATATTTAGGGCGAAATTATAGTCGTTTAACATGCGATTCGTGTAAAATGTTTTTCAGGAGATATTGCGTTAAACCTAAGGTTAATTCTAGTAAAATATACAACATGTAAATTTAGTAAATTTTACATTTTATTATTAATAGAGATATGGATGTACTTCAGATGAAAATTGCAATATAACTGTAATAACGAGAAAATTTTGCTCAAAATGCAGAATCAATAAATGTTTTGCCATCGGAATGAGAAATGTAAGTTGGAATGAGAAGTTTGTTTATAATTTGTATAAATTTATTTACATTAATGCTTTTTAAACAGGAATATAAACAAAATTACAACAAAAAGCAAAATAATAATAAGAAAATCAAAAACAAGGAAAACAAAACACAAAGTATTAATAACAAACATTTTATTGATCCAGAATCGGACAATTCAAGTGAAATGTATAAAAACATAAATAGTTATAATATTCAAAAAGTGGATCAACAAGTGGTGGGAATTGAAAATTCTGTTACAAAATATATCAACAAAACAATAGATTCCGTGTTTTATAAACAAAAATCACAGAATTCTGTAATTATTCCTGTGTTTAAAGATCTCACGGATTATAACGGTTTGAATGAATTAGAGGTCCTAAGGATTGGCGAACTGTTGGCAGCCGTGAATTCATTCAATTTTAAAGTGACTCAAAACGTGGTAAATATTAGCGATAAAAATGAATTTTACCGCATATCCAAAACAATGACCGATAATCACATCAGGGATACCACAAAATTTAGCAAAGGTTTGGTATCGTTTGCCAACACCTGTCCCGACGACCAGTTATCGCTGTTAAAGTATGCTGTGTTTGAAATTACCTCGTTACAAAATGCACATAATTATGACCGAGATGATGAGTCCTTTCTTGTTCAAATTGTAAGTAAACTTACAACTTATATTAATTATTTATAATTTATATATTAATTATAAAACTATTTTAAGACAAATTATTATAATTAATTATTGTTGTTTTATAGGAAAACGATACAACTGTTGTATTGTCATTAAAGTTAATGCGTTATGATAATTTTAATTATTATCAAATGCTTAAATGTTTTATGAATAATATTGTTGAGGAGTCACAATGCGATCACATTATTATGCATTTGGTAATGAAATTCTCAGTCTATCTATAATTAAAAATAATTATAAATTATTACCAATAAAATTACATTTATATATTTAAAAATAATTAATTTATATAATTTATAGTTAACAGCAATTACACTTTTTAACCCAAACCGACCCGATTTAAAACATCGAGATAATATTAAGTGAGTTAAACATAGAATATTAACTTTATGTAATTTATTAACATGTGGTCATATAAATCTAGACTTAATTAATTATTTTAATTCTTTTTAACAACTTTTAGACTCGAACAACAACTTTATGTATATTTACTACAAAAATATCTTCAATTAAAATATGTATATCAATGGGAATCGCAATCAAAACTACAAAAACTGATGTTATTATTGAATGAATTGAACGAAACAATTAAAATCCGCAATTCATTAGCCGTGGAAGAGATCAGGGATTACATCCAATATTGCGGTCCACTTCTCAAAGAGGTTTACGACATATCAGACAATGAAGAACAGCTGGATTTAAATGAACTAGATATTTGATGCTTGGACAATCACTATACAGTGTATTTACTACATTATTATTTATTGTTAAATTATATTTTGTGTCGTAAATTTTACATTTCAACATTAAATAAATTTTTTTATTATTATGCTTATTTGAAATAATATTGATTTTATAATTGTTTAATTGATCAATTTAAATTCAATGCCAAAGTTAAGTATTAATGTTGTTTAGTAAAAGTAATATAACAGTACATTGGGTTTATTGATTACAATGAATGATACGTTTTTGAATGGACTTACGATAAGATTGCAAACAAATTTCATTAAAGTTCAGTGAATAAAACAAACCTAATCTGTGTTTAAACAACCATTTAATTGTATTTCAAGGATTCCTATGAGGAAATTCAGGTATAATGTACTGTATATTGTATTTATAATTATTTAATGTAAATCCATCAATATTTGTTAATTGTGTTAGTTTAATATAAACATTGTTTATAAATCTATAAGATAATGAGAAAATACAAGAAGAAAATTGATCAAGTTTGTCATGTTTGTGGAGATAAAGCATCTGGTAAGTTTAAAATGTTTTTACTAAATAATGATTAACAATTATGATAATAATATTTAGGTAGAAATTTTGGTGGCATTTCGTGCGAGAGTTGTAAAGCATTCTTTAGGAGGACTGCCATTAAAGACAAAGTAATTATAATTAATTAATAATAATTAATAATAAGTTGTTATTATTAACTAATAAAATATGTCAAAATTATGACACTGTTGTTTTAGACGACAAAATGTCGTAAAAACAAAACATGTAAAGTAGAGCCCCGGGAGAAAAAGTGCCAAAAATGTCGACTCGAGCGCTGTTTTGCTGCCGGAATGAGACGGGTATGCTTTAACACTTGATTTAACTCGTGTTAAAATTAAATAATTTTATATAAAAACTAAATATAATTAATACATCGACAGGAATTCATACGAACAGATGAGGAGAGGCAACAACTTCAGCAATTAATTCACAATAAGCGACAACCAAAACAAATTCCTGAATTTAAAAACATTGACATATTATATGATAATCAATACACCTGTGCTGTGATCAATGAGTGCGACTTTTTCACCAAAATATTTGACAATACCATTAGTACCGATGCGTTAAACGCCGAGATCACAGAGATTGAGACCTACCTGTCAAACAGTGACATCAATTCAACCATAATTAGTCAGCCAAACACACCGGACTCGAGCTCAGGGATAGTCCCGGAGCGGTCACCGGCAGTGTTGCCCTATTTTGAGCAAATGGTTGACTACAAGGGGTTCAACGAGTTGGAGACCAATCGGCTGTTGGAGTTGTTTACGGCCGCCAACGCCTTGTTTCACGAGATTATACCCATTAATGTCACAGAGTTTACAAATCTAGATGAATACATGAGTCTAGATGTCCAGCATTTAACTCGTGGAATTACCAACGTGGTACATTTTTCAGATAATCTAAGCCTGTGCGATAACCTGTACAACGAGGACAAACTGACCCTGGTCAAGTACGGAACTACTGATGTGAAAATGTTGCGATCAGTAACCATATTTGATTACGAGGCTCAATGCTGGAGAGTTAAAATTGTAACTAGACTAATCATTATTATTAAATGTGCAAGGCTACTTTAAAATTTTATGTTTTATGATATTCAGAATAATAATATGACCGCAGCATTCAGATTAACCATGTTGGAAATATTTGAACACTACAATGTGCTCAATAGATTTATTAACAACATATACGCGGAATGGGACTGCGATTCCGTTATATTAGACCTGGTATTTGTATAATTGTATAGATTAATACATATTCTGTATATAACTAACTGTTATTATATTATTCTCATAGTTAACGGCAATTGTATTCTTCAATCCTAATCGACCAAAACTAAATTGCAAAGAGATTGTTAGGTAACCAAAAACCAAATTAGCTAGTTTATAAATATTTTGACAATTCTAATTAACCATAATAATTTATTAAATTTTTACTAGACTTCAGCAATACATATACATGTATTTACTTCAACGCTATTTATTAATAAAATACGGTTCAGAATCACAGACAAAATTTGGTCAATTGATGGCACACATAATGGATCTAGATTTTCTAAGTCAACTGTGTAGTACAGATGTTCACACTAAATACCCAGATGTTCGCAAACGTATTGTTAATAGTGGTCTCTCTATTAATGGCAGACCAATAAAGGAGTTTGTTGGTTTATAAATTATAATGCAGTTTTAAACAGTAAAATTAAACCATAAATTATATACTTATGTAATAGTAATGTTAATATATTAATATTGTTATTCAAATAAAACATTATATATTTTGCTTACAATTAGTTGTTAACATTTAATCTAAATAATTAATTGTTTGCAGAATTAAAATAATAATAGGTATATTTTTACGATGTTTATTTGCCTATGGTAATTGAATGAAATAAACCGATGATAAAAATACCCAAATAACTTCCTTATGCATTTTATGTTCACTGTGATAATATTTTGTTGTTTAACCAGGCAAATTATAATTTAAGTAATCTGATTGCGTAATTATCTTAATTAGTTTTGTACAGAAAGCACGTGAAAGTGATATAAAGTATATCATAATATTTTAAGTTTATAATTAGATTAGATATAATAATTAGAAACTGAATTATATGTATGTCTTATTGCAATGAATGACATATTGTGTGCTCAATAGTTAATCAAAGAATTATGTGGATAAATTTTTTATGTGGATATTCTATTATATAATAATTTAATACATTTAATTAATCATGATCGCAATTTTGAACACTTTATAAATGTAATTATCTCATTATGGACTCAGGATTTTGCGATGTTTGTGGCGATAAGTCAATTGGTAACTATTTATTTTGCTAACATAATATTTATATTATTAACTAAGTTCCGCTTAATTAATTGTAAAAATTTTAAAATAAATGATTAATTTAATATAATTTAAGGCAAAAATTTTGGTGCCATTACGTGCTCTTCGTGTAAGACATTCTTCAGGAGAATCACATCCAAAACAAAAGTACAATTATTTGATATGATTTATAATATTGTATTGTATTTTAGTATTGTAAATATCACATAGATTTATTTTATGATTAATCGCTGTTCATTAACCAGGATTATAAATGCTATTTCGTTGATAATTGTGAAATAAATATATTAACGAGAAAATTCTGCCCAAAATGTCGACTGAGAAAGTGTTACACAAAAGGCATGATAAGGGTTAGTAATAAATCTACCATAATATTACATATTTTATATTAATGCAAAACAATTCACACTTTTTAGGATAATATACTAAATGACAAACAAAGGGAATTCAAGAAAGCGGTGGCCGAAGAGAATCGCAAAATACGGCAAAATAAAAATAAATACTTATCAAACTATACATCGGATCAATCGCTGGCCCAGTGTTTGCCTAATGAGGGGTTTGACTGTAGTTTTCAAATCATTACCACCGAGGACAATGATCATGACTTAAGCAACAGCCAGATGAATATTTATTATTCAAATGAGACACTCAAACACACTTTACCTGCCATTGAAATTGGCTATAATATGCGCGAATCGTTCAACGAGTTAGAGACAAATAAACTGACTGAGTTGTTACGGGCAATGACAGTATATCCGTGTCCGCCACCCGCAGCGGACACCGAGTACGACAACATGATTGTCATCAGACAAGCGCTGAGCCTGAAGTACGAGAACGAGATCAAAAACATGGTAAATGTGATGCAAAAGTTGCCCATTTTTAGCCACATCTGCGATAACGATAGGATAGCGCTCGTGAAGTACGGATTCATTGAGATATTTCTGTTGCGATCGGTTCTGGGCTTTAATTTTCACACACAAGACATGATATTAACAGTGGTTTGTATAAAATTATTAAATTATAATAATTACCATAATTTAAGTTATATTTGCTGTTAACCAGGAAAGCGATCACTTGTTTCGCTTCAAACTTGATTTATTGCGGACTAATAAAAGACAATTTCACGACTTTTACAAACAATATCTCTACGCTATGGGACCGGAGATACAGACAAACACTGTTATCATTGATTTGGTAATCAATTATACGTTAATTTAAAAAATTTATAATTAATTTAAATAATTGTATACTTTATTTAGTTTACGGCAATATCATTATTCTCGCCAAATCGACCCAATCTTATAAATAAGGATATTGTTAAGTGAGTATAGCAATCAATTTAATTATAATTGCTACAATAAAACATAAAATAAACTATGTTATTATTAAACCTGAACTTTACTTATTAGGCTGGAGCAGCAAATTTACATCTATCTATTAAAACGGTATCTATTATGGAGATATCAATCGGAAAGTGAGGCCAGTGTTAAGTTATCGAGTTTATTGAATATTTACAAAGAGGTACAAATGTTGGGACAAATCCAAAGGCTTAACTCCAGTGAAAATCTGACCCAATATATGGGACCACTTCTTAGGGAAGTGTTTGATATTAACGCCGACGACAATTCATTTAGTCATGCAATTAATTGTTAAATAATAATTCAATTAAATACTTAATAATTGTAATGTATAATAAGCTTTATTTATGTTTGCAATTTGTACAGAAGGGAAAGTGCAAATAAAATCAATTTAATTATTTATAAATTGTAAATAATACTAAAATAATTTGTAAATGTAAATTAAATATATTGTTAATCGCGCAATAGATGATGCTAACTTAAATGATCATGGTATATTAAATTAATTTTTAATGAAAATTGATTTTTATCCATTACAGTAAATATTAAATAATTCCAAGAATTACCTTGAAAAAATAATGTGTCAAATGGCTTTTAAGATGTTTATACAATTATATGTAAATGTATATAGTTTACTTTACTGTATGTTATATAAATTTAATAATGTCTACAATAGTGACACCGGGATTGTCCCAATACTCCTCACATTTAAGCATTACAACTGTGGCTATTATTAGATACAATTGCATTCAGAATAACCTTAATTATATACATATAACATATAATTAATTAAAAGCTGAAATAATAATAAAAATAATATACATTGAGTGCATGGTAATTATGCAACATTAAAACACTCTTATAAAATCAATAAAAACGGCCAAAATTAGTAATACATAGATTAAGTTATTTTTCATGATTATCTAATAACAATCGCAAAATATTAACAAATTTATTGCTACATAGAAAATACAATGCATATCCACCTTACCATAAATATTGATAAATAACACCTTGCTAATAATTATAAAATGTTATGCAATAATTTATCTTGGTAAAATATTGTACAGAATATGCGTGTATAAACTGTGTGAGTAGAATGTTCTGTATAGTAATAATAGGCATGGGTCTAATTGCACCTGTAAATGTAGTTAATAAATTTGTTAATATTTTGCGATTGTTATTAGATAATCATGAAAAATAACTTAATCTATGTATTACTAATTTTGGCCGTTTTTATTGATTTTATAAGAGTGTTTTAAATGTTGTCGTACTCGGTGTCCGCTGCGGGTGGCGGACACGGATATACTGTCATTGCCCGTAACAACTCAGTCAGTTTATTTGTCTCTCTCTTTCTCTCTCGCAAACACACATACAATCTTACTATACAGTCACATATAGCAGCTATATTATAGCTGATAAAAAAATGCATTTTATATCAAATATACAGTGAATAATATCGACGCAAACTCGCATAATATACACCGATAAATGTATATATAATAAGAAAAATACACTTTTTAAACACAACAACTGTTCAATAAATATCGGTATTTGTGTTGTATATTACATAAAAACACAATAATCAGTGAAATACAAAAATTATAATAATTTGTTGCCGTTTGACGACACAGACAGCCATCGGAATCGTCACAATATAATAGTTAATTACAAATTGTGTCTGTTTTTTGGTTAACAAGTGTTTTTTCAAAGTGCATTATACAATAAAACATACCGTCATTTTACGTACGATATACTAATATATTACAAAATCATACCTGGTTGCTTAAGGCTAAACGTGTGTAAATATTAATATACATGTATTTGCTTGCACTTATAAGTTGCTAGTAAGCCAACAAGATCATTTGAAACTACCACTAATTTACTGGTAGTGTTATGTGTCTGGAGAAAAAAAAGTTATATAACTAGATATTAAAAGTGTTTGGGTTTTGTGTTTAAATAATGAATTGTTTGATTTAAACAATTAATTGACTTTAATTTTCTCAACAAATTGAAGAAATATTACATTTTATATAACAATATATTGTGTTATAAAAAATGCCTAAAAAGGGTGAACCAAAAATATGCGGCGTTTGCGGCGGTAAAGCAATCGGTATATGAATTTATTAATTATTTATATTTCAATCTGTATTACAAAATCAGTAAATTTACGTTAAGTTGATAATTATATTATAATTTAGTAAATTTTTTCAAGGTTATATCATTAAATGTACTTTTATACATTTGTATTTACCTAATTTATTTATCTATGTAAATTTAATTTTTATTTTATTTGTTTAGCTAAAAACTTTGGCGCAATGAGTTGTGGGCCGTGTAAAGCGTTTTTTCGCCGCAATGCCATTCAAAACAGGGTAACTATTAAGCTTATCATTAACCATGATTTAATTAATGTATTTATTATAAATATTTTGTTTTTAGTTTAAGTGTCAGTTCAACGAGAGATGCAAAATAGATATTATAACCAGAAAATTCTGCCCTAAGTGTCGGCTAAATAAATGTTTCTCCATTGGAATGAATAAGGTATTAATTTCTACAAAAATAACCACGATCAAGTAACTAAACACACACTAATAAGACTAATCAACACTAATTATATATACATGTAATTAATTTTATAAATTATATTTTCCCATAAAATAAAGGAATGGATATTAAATGAGGAGCAAAAGGAAGTGATCCGAAAGCGATTGCATGAGAATCGACTCATGAAACTTAAGACAAACACCGAGAGTAATTCAAGCGATGATAATAATCGTGATAAAAAATCAGCTAAAGAGCGCAAGGTCAGAAAGAAAAAAGTTGATAACAACAACAATAGCCACAACTCGGATGATAACACCGACATCGATGTCCCGACAGTACCCGCGCTTAAGACATATGCCTCGAGTAGTAGTGATAACACTGACAGTCGATCGCCAGCTCTTCACACCGATTACGAGGAGCTAAACACAGCCATCGATGGTATGGCAAGTGATCATAACGAGTGGTCGTCGACCTCTTCGTGTGACAGCGATTCCGGCGGCGGTGATAATCACCGATCGCTGATTCCCATCCATCGGCCGATCGCTGACTACAGCAACAACTTTAACGAAAGGGAAGGCGTCTGTCTGTCGGAGCTGTTGTCGGCCATGGATTCGGTGAGGGATCCGATATCACCCACGGCTCGGGAGTTGACAGACTTTCATCACATCTACCAGATTATGACCATTAGATTAGATCACGGGATTAGAGATATCATTAAATTGAGCAAAAATCTAACCACATTTAAAGCCGTGTCCGAAATGGACAGATATATACTCGTAAAGCAAAGCTGTGTTGAGATATGTTTAATGAGATCAGCCCTCGTATACGACTACCGCACCGGCTATTGGAATATATTTCTGGTAGGTGTTTATGTTTTTTATAAGTTTTATATCATGTGCATTTTGCGATGACTTTAATTTAATTAGAAGTTTTAATTTTAATAAATATTGGAGTTTTAATCATGTTTTGTAAACATTTAATTGTAGAGAAACGACGACTCGTATCGCATAAAACTCAATGTTTTAAAACAACATTCAAAAGATATTTATAAGGCTTTCAAAACTTTTTTACAAAACGCTAAACTCGAGTGCGGCTCCGATTCACTCATATTTGACTTGGTAATTAAATTAAAGTTATTTATTAATTATTAAATAATTACAATTAATTAATTAAAATTTTTATTTTATATAAAGTTGACGGCTATAACGCTATTCAATCCAAACCAACCTAACCTATCCAACAGGGATGCTGTTCAGTGAGTGCTCTCTCTCTCTCTCTCTCTCTCTCTCTCTCTCTTCTCAACTATTAATAACATTATAATTAAATCCAATTCATTAAACCCTATATTTAGGTTTCAACAAAAATTATACCTGTACTTATTGAGACGATATTTGCAGCTGAAGTACCGGTGGGACAGCGAATGGAAATTTAAACAAATACTGAACGTGGTAAATGATGTGCACGTGCTGGGTCATTTACAGAGACAGAGTAGCGTTGACAGAGACCCCAACCAATTGGGTCCACTACTCACCGAAATCTATGACATTCCCAAACAAATCACAACCAATTGATAATTGTTTTAATTATTTATTTATAACATTAACATTATTTATCATTACGTGAACAAAGATTTTTTTAAAACCCAATTTTAGGTTTCACATACACTGTACATACCGTAGAAAATAACCTTATTTTTACCAGTAATACTATGCCACATCAAGTTCAAATATGAATTTTTTAAATTAAGAAATATATGATCAACATATTATTACTTTCATTCCTAAAACTTACAAAATAAAACTCATATATCCAGTACAAACTACAATGAATCATATTTGAACTTGATGTGGCATAGTAGTAGTTAAATAAAGTCGACTCTGGAGCAGTTTTCGCAAAATTTTTCCGAGAAATCTAATTTTTGAAATCAAGATTTTAGAAATGTTAGGCGGCGCACACACATCAAATTCACCGACGAATAAACAA